CCCAGGCCAGAGTAACTGAACAATCCCTTAAAGGCCCAATTCACTTGCCCCGGGCAAGTGTGAATTGGAGGTGTGGCTATTCTAATGCATGGTGTTAATCACTTGCGTAGCCTATGACGCATCCTGTTTCAGCGGTCCAACATCACGTGACTTTGATTGACAGTAAGTAATTATTCAAGATTAAGTCGCGCATCCCTTTCCCCGGTTCATGTTTTTTACTTTTATCCGCCAAAATCTCAGCTCGTACACAATTTATTGTCATAAATATTACACACAGTCACTGCTGTGATATTCATAGTCACATGCATCCACTTTGGCACGACATAATCGACCTGTAAGTTCGCGAAAACACGTTTTTACCGGAGCTTGGCTGGAGCTGTTTACTACAGCGTGACAAGCAAGGAAATAATCCCTATTGTTTAGGGGCGTATTTATAGTATACCTGGGCCTTTAAATATATTATTTCCAACCGATAGTATTTTCTAGATTGCAGGCAGCATTTACAGTTCATTCAAAGTTCAAAGTTGCGTTGGGATTACGTTGATACAGTGTAACAATGTCGGCGTCGGTGATCTCTTACCGGTGTGCAACGTAGCCAAAATAAAAGGCATGAATACAAGACTAGTGGGAGGTAATACATTTGGGGTCGAAAGTATTCAAAAAACAGTTTTTGGCTGTTGCCATGGTAGCTGTGGACCAGGATTGTTTTGCCAATTAGTGACGGTACGACCTGCCTGTCAATTATAAACAAAATTAGCCAAGCCAAAAAAAATCTCAGTAAATTGTTGCCCACACTCAAGCGGATTAGAATGAGCTACGTCCATGCTTTTTAATCATAGAAATGTAGGGTGTGATACATTTGGCGTGAAGGTATTAAAAAATTCAGTTGTTGGCTGTTTCCATGGAAACGGTGGTCAGAATTTGTTTTCAGATTTTACCAATAGTAACTTTGTGCCCACACTCAAGCTGAGCAAAATGAGCTATGTCTGAGTGTTGTATCC